ACTAACTATTAAAAGTTATTATTAAATGATAATGAATTAACTTCGATATTAATAGATCTAAAGAAAGATATTCCGATTGAAGTTAATTAAATGATCGTCGCATTATGTAACCACATCGAGATGCAATAGCTGCGTCATATTTATTAAATTTCTATGAATTTTAATAACTGCTGTATTTCGTCATAACAAGCCACCCATTGATTTATAATCAAAGCCAACAGCTTGATATGCGAACGAACTTATTAACCTTCAAACCTAAACCTCACGTAGCAAAATCACAACTTTTGGAGCTGCTCCTCCTAACTTTCTGCGGGATTATGACGTCATCCAAAATACAAAATTACTATATACCTATTGTATCATTAGTATCTTTTGTACTTGATCTTACTTTTGTTTTATACAGTATACTAAAATGTAGAACAAAACAATCAGAAATGTGCGTATGCTTAATAAATAAGATTGTTGCTACAATTCTTCCACGATGTTATTGTATCATAATAAAACCATCTATTTCCTACTAATAAAATTAATTAAGCATTATAATTAGTATTCCCTTCATGAATTTTTTTAGAACATTTAATCCAAATTCTCCTCGGCTAAAAGTCACCGTTCAACAATCTAACGTCTAAAAATTATTTATTAATCTGAAATATATCAAATCAATAATTGATTGATTGTAGACAATTTGAATTTTTATTGTGATCAAATTATTAAATTTTAATTATTTCAACCCTTGTTCTTTTAAAAACCGAGTTTTCTATTAATTGATCTTCTTTTATAAGTGTTTTTGGTAAAGGATGTATAGTCATTTTTGCATATGTCCCAGCAGATTCATCTCTTGAAAGATAACCAGGATTAATACAAATAACATTTTCAACAACCTATTTTCAAAAAATAAAAAATATGTTATATTTGCGAAACCATCATAAAAAAATTTCATTTAAAAAGAAATAATATTAACCTTTGCAAAAGATTTTAATTTTGAAGGAAGAATTAGGACATCAGGTAATTGTTGTAGTTCAAGGTAACTAGATTTCTTGAATTCAAGATTTACTTCTTCATACGTAGGAAATAATGGATAAAGACTAAAGATCAAAAAAAAAAAAAAAAAAAGTTGTTACAAGGGTTTCTATGAATTTACTGTAATAAAAAGATGCATACTGTCTTTGCGTCAATATATGACGCGATAGTCTTCCCATTCGATCTAAACCAGGCTTTGCATTTCCATCAATTCTAATAAAAGAATAATAAAGGGATTAATTAATTCATACGATTTTATTTAATATTTAATTACATTACTATTATACCTCTCAATTGCATTATTCATAAGATGAAATAAAATATCAACATTATCAATAGCAAATGTTATCTCATTTACTCGGAATTGAGCAGGGTTTGACACACAAATGACATTCTAAAATGTAAAATAAAACATTAATCAACACATTTAATCTCATGAGTAAATGTACATTGAGATGAATAATACCTTCGATAATACGTGCTTAGGGAATGGTGATTGCGGAAAAACAAATGGATGAAATAAATCCTTGGTGCTTGGAACCAAAACAATGGATACATTAGTTACTTTACATAATTCATCAATAATACATTCTTTAAAGATTTCGCCAGGTGTTTTGGAAGTCTTTCCTTCTTTTAAAAGAAGGTGGTCTTCACTCACAAATGGCCCTAACTAAGTAAATAAGAAAAATGATTATAAAACATTTACAAAATTCCCGAAGATGACAATTTCTTTTCAAAAAAAGTTACCAAAATTAACAGATCAGGTTTGTCCTGATTCACCTTGGAAAGTAGCTCTTTGAAAGGCTCGTATTCAAATCCATTGTTAAAAGTAAATGGCCCTGCAGCAATTACTATGTTTAATGGATTTCCATTTAGTTTTTCTTGACCATAATTATATTCGATTAATTCACTTGATGGTGTTTTACACATAGGTAATAAGGGTATCT